CTGTCCCTGACTCCATTGCTTACTTTATGTGGAGTGTGTAGGGCTGCAGATCCTGAAGGAGGATGTTCTTCTCTGAGGAGGCCTCCCTTTTGAAGGGAACCAAGCACTTTGGGATTAAATGGTAGAGTCCACACACAGAGCCTAGTTCCCAGTTTCTCCTGGGTTTTCCCACGTTCCTCCAGAAGGACCACGGTACCTCCCCTTGTGCTTGGGGTGCTGGTATGAGCGATACCAGTATTACACATGGAGTGTGGTCAAAGGGTGGATCTTGGGGAGAAAGCTCAGAGGTTTTTTATTGTTTCCCGTGCAGAAGCTAGAGTTTGAGACGCTGTATTAGCCTCTGCTGTGACCTAGCAAGTCTACCACTGACACAACTCTTGCAGCAGACGCCTGCTCCCCTGCTGCTGCGAAGCACACCTTCGCACAGAGGGCTGGCTGCACCTCCAGTACGTGCAAGCAGGAGTAGTGTTTTGAGGGGGCTTGTGACAGCTCCCCTGAGCGGGGACAGGATGCCCTGGATGTCCCTAGCTGCCAGGAGGCACCATTTCGGGCTTCCCTCTGTCGGAGCAAGTCCTGCTCTTGCAGGATGGTGGGCTGAGACAGGCCACTCACGAACACTCAGCTCTAGTCTTAGTAGGGGTGTAGTGAGCACGTGGCAACCACAATGCTGGTCGCCAGTTCCTCCCAACACATTCCTGACTGGGCAAACGCTGGTTCTTGTGTTATAAAGCCGGCCGATGGTCAAAGTTCTTGGTTGGCCGTAAGCACAACCTCCAGCCATCGGGTGTCTCTTTTTCTGGTCAGTGAAAGGTCTGTTCCTCTCCTGGAGAACGTCAGAGCAGGCAGCATGAATTGCATACTCTAGCAAAAGCTTAGTTTATACAACAGGACTGGGGAGGGGCAGAAGCAAAAGAAAGGGAAATCCTGAGAAGAATTCCATCTTGAGGGGTTCATGTTTTTCTCTGTTTGCTACTGCAGACTTCCAGAATTTACTGAAAGTGAGAAGCAAAGAATTAAAGGCACATATGACTACTTTGGTCTAAATCATTATACTACAGTTTTAACCTACAACATAAACTATCCTGCTGGTGTCCTGTCGTATGACTCAGACAGGTAAGAGATGAAGGTAAATTATTGGTGAAGTAAAATAGGCACACCTGGAGCCTGGCCCAACTGAGCAGTGTAAAGCGATGGCAAATAAAGCTGTGAAACAGAGGTTTTAAGCTGTTACAGCCAATGCTAGGGAAAATACCTGTGGTGCTGCTACTTTCACACAAATCCAGCAACAGCCCTTATCTTACAGACCTGATAAATGTGAATGTTTACAACAAAGAAAACTAGAGGATCTACTAGGGGAAGGACTCTGTCCTCATGAGCCTCCCAGTCGTTTGGGATCAGCTGTAAACAGGATTTATCCTATATCCTGCCCCCAAGCTGTAGTTTGAACAGCTAGATTATCCTGGTTCATGGACACTGCTCCATTTGTTAGTTCCCTCACCACATTGGAGAGATATAAGTTCAAAGCCTAAATAGCTAAATCACTGCATAGTTAAGTACATGTAAGTCAGTGTTTTTGTCTGGATACAGATTTCTTTGCCCAGCTTCAAAAGGTAAACAGTAGGAGCTTACTGTTTTTTTCTGATGAGAATTAAGGTGATGGTGGGACCACCAGCTTGCCACAACGTCACCTCTGGTTCAGTTTTCTGCAGACCTCAACACAGTGTTTCTCAGGGCTGCAGCAGTGAGGTGCCGGGGGCAGCAGTGAGGTTCCCAGCGCAGCAGCAGGCACGTGGGACTGGTCCCTTGATCAGTGTGTCTTCCTCTGCAGAGGTGTCGCTTCAGTAACCGACCGCAGCTGGCTGAACTCTGGTTCCTTCTGGCTAAAAGTGACACCCTTTGGGTTCCGAAAGCTCCTGAGATGGATAAAGGAAGAGTACAACAACCCTCCCATTTACGTGACCGAAAACGGGATCTCGGAAAGGGGAGCCTTTGACTTCAATGACACGTGGCGGACGCATTACTACCGCAGCTACATTAACGAAGCATTGAAAGGTAAGGAGGATTATTTAAATCTGACCATCCAAATCTCTAGAGAGCAGCAGTGTCTTGCCACAAGACTGATGTGTATAAAGCAAGCTGTGAAGAGCTGGAGGACCACTGCCCTCGCACTTGCAAGTTGCACGCTCACGTGGGTTTACTCTCTATCTGCTTCTGAGAGCCTCTGGCTTTAGCTGCCCATGGATAGCCAGGGCTTTGCAGGGAAGGGTGGGCGGAAGGAAGAACCAACCCTGGGGTTAGTAGGGTAGCTGCAGCTTCCTCGTATAGCTGGCAAGAGAAGGTACTGCTACTTGATGAATACCTCTTTTGAATTCTACTTTGACTACTGCTGTGTCTATAACCCTGCATCTTATTTTAAAAAACGGAAAACAAACCAACCCCAAAGAGGTTTTGGTTATGGCAGTGGTCAAGTAACGCGGGGGAATGTCTTTTCCAGTTTGCTTTTCTGATGCACTGGGACCTGCCAGCCAGATGTTGAGACAGGGCTCGTTTACTGCCTTGTAGCACTGAGGTCCCACAAGCCTTAGTTTAAATACTGGTAGCGTGTTGATGGCTTTTCTTCTCTGTTCCTACTTTTGGGTTTTGGACAAAAGCTTTGACTTTTGGAGCAGATGAAAGCAAGTCCCCAATACTGGCAGGCTGAGCGAGCTACCCTGGTTGCTCATTAGCTGTAACTTGGCAGCTACACTACCGCAAAGCAGCTGAGCTAAGGCAACACCCGAGAAGTGGGAACGGGGAGATGGCAAAATGGATGAAGGCAAAGTGGCAGTAACCTCACCGCAGTCAGCACCCTGCTGCTCTGCAGCGTCCCGGAGCCTCTTCAGGCCACTGCTGGCCTCGTGGTGACCCCTCCCGACACCCGGCGGCACAACTAACCGGTTCTCTCTGGTCCCGGTAACAGCTGTTGTGCTCGACGGCGTCGACTTACGAGGCTACACGGCGTGGACGCTGATGGACAACTTCGAGTGGGCGGTGGGCTTTGATGAGAAGTTCGGGTTCTATCACGTGAATTTCACAGACCCCAACTTGCCGCGGCGCCCCAAGGCCTCCGCCAGCTATTACTCGCAGATCATAAACTGCAACGGGTTTCCAGACCCAGCAGCGGGCCCCCATCCCTGTCTGGAACCACAGCCTGAAGGTAAGCCATGCAGCAATCCTGCATGTGTGTGTGTATCCAATTCTACTCCCCAAAGTTTTCCACAATCTATAGTCTTCAAAGCCACCACTGTTTTCTGCAGTTTTCTGCTTAAGGGCTCCAGCAGAGCACTGGCTAATCATCAGTCTTTGTTAGGACTGAAGAGGTTCATGTGGAATTATGTCCCTTCTGTAGGCAAAGCCAGACCAGTAACTATATTTTGTGCGACAGCACCTCAATACATGTCTGTCTCCAAAATACAGCCAAAAAAGCTACTCCATTCCACTTTTCTCTGATTATCAGAACTGCCCAAGGTGTTCTCCAAACCACACACATTCACTACTCCCGCATCATTTTTTCTAAGCAATCCTGAATACTTCATACCCGTCAGCGTTCTGGGTAAGCCTTTGGAAATCTTGAGTCACTTATGTTCTCTGAACTAGAGGAGCGCACTGAGGAGCAGCCCTTGCTAGCGTGGGGGGGGTGGGGAGCCAGAGCACCCTTGCCCCTCCTGCAGTCTCCAGAACTGCACTGTCCCCTCAGCTGGGCCTTCGTGCTGAGCTAGAACCGGGTCAGTCGCTGATGCCCCAAGCACTACGGCTCCTGCCGGAGTAACGAACAGCAACGGCAGAGCCTTGCAGCGGCAGCAGCGCCCGCGCGAGCCCGCCCCAGGCTGCGCACTAACGCTTTCTTACTGTTTCCCCACGGACAGCGACGCCACCAGACACCGCGCCAGGACCGGCTGACAGCGTGCGCTTTTTGGGCTTGGATTTAACGGCACCACGGGCAGAAATAGCACTCTATGTGCTTTTTGCTCTTTCTGCAGTTGGAGCATTAGGCTTGGCTCTTCTTGCATACAAGTATGGAAAATTATCCAAAAGACCCCGTAAGCAATCGCACGTGGAACTCAGTAAACTGTAAAGTTTCCACTTGCTAACATGTTTCGGTTTTTTATTAAATAAAGCCTAGAGCACCAGGAAAAGAAACCTAGTGCTCATCCTACTGCAACAGTGTCGGCTCCCCAGCATTTTGGTGTTTGCTTACCAATTTTAAACAAACTAAATTTTTTCTACGTTAACTCTCTCTTTTCTCCCAATGGCATTAGTGATTTGATTTCTTAAAGACAAAAGTAAAATTGCCCGTTCCTATCTGCATCATCCACTTGAACTTTCAGCTGTTCTCGCTTCATCAGCTCCCCTTGGATGATGAAGGGATCTGAGAGCAGCCCCTGGCAGCTCTACAGCTTCCTAGTGTTTTTAAGGCAAATGAGTGTCTATACTGGTGAAAACTGATCCAGGAGAATGTACTGTTCTAGTGCAGCTACTGTATTTTTCTCCCCTCTTTCCTTTATTTCATAATACAGTATTTTTTAAACTTGTGTACCATAAATTATTAAAAAAAAAATGGAAGTAGCCTCAGTACTTATGCCTTCCCGTTTGAAACGAGCACACTACTCCCTTCAAGCTCCCTTCCCCAGGCAGGGGCAGCAGCACAGCATGCCTGTCGCAGTTAGGTCTCTAACACCGAGAGGCACAGTACTTGGATGCTCTTCCTCAGCCCTCTGCTAACAACATTCCTGTTTTACATGACAGAGACCCATCTTTCTTCCTTCCTGTACCACAGCCTGGACCCAAAACACTTTCAGATGTGTTTTACCAGCTCTTCATATGAACAGCTCCTGCGTAAGGTCATTTAAACTGGAACACAAAGCTTGTCCGCCGTATTTTAAATTTCAGTGCATGATCCTAACTGCTTGCTTCCTTGTGACACAAGTGTTTAAGAGGAACTTCACAAGAGAATAGTTATGTTTTCTGGAAAATAGTTTATTGAGTGCTTGGGGAATTAAAAACTACAAGGTTTTGCTTGCAGTTGCAGGAAGCAAGAAAGAAGTTAAACATAAATTAGTTACCTGATTTGCTACTTGTAGTGCTTCTGAAACCCTCATTTTAATCAATCATTGCCTACCTTGACCTTTATATTAATATCTGGCCCTTAAATTTATGTAGCAGAATACTTATAGATTAAAAAGTGCCTTCCCGTGGCAGTAGGGTAACGATTATGAAAGCTGATGGAGATGTTCAGCCTTTTTAACTCTCTGCTTCTAGCCTTCAGCTGCCCTCTCCCTTTCTCTGACTTGAGTGACTTTATTCCCTACTCCACTGCAGGAATAAGATTTAAGTAATTCAGTCAGTGTAAAATAAGCCCCACTTGTCCAAAAGCTTTAGTTGACTTAAATCAAATAAGAAAAAAAAAAAAAAAAGCCAGATGGTGATTACAGCCATTACTCAAAACTACATTTGTTGTGTAGAATTTCCATTCCAAGTATTGTTTTCATCTTCTCCATCGTCTTGAGTCCTCAGTCTATATATTTTGCCTTCTTTTTTGAAGTCTTCCCCCCGCTTTTCCACTACTCGTTTCCTGACTGCTTGCCTAGGGTACAAACGACAGTGACGTTTGACAGTGTCCCTGGTAACAATTACACACGAGAAACAAATGCAATAAATAAAAATCATGCATCCTTCCTTCCCTTACCCCCAGCAATAGTTGTCTTCAGCCCTTTGTTTCCTTAGGAAGCAATACCCAGCTGAAAATTTGTCACTTTGCAGTCAGACAAACTGACGGAATCTTGGTTGCCCTGGAAAGCCCCTGTCAGTGAAGCCATACGTGGCCTAGCGGCACTCCTGGTACAGGGCACTTATTCTCTAGGCCATACAAAACCTTCACTGTCAAAGTCAGACTTCAGTTGTCCGAGTTTCTTGTACCACCATACTGTAACTATCTGACATCTAAGTTTCAAAATCCTCTCCCCAGCAGTATCAGCTGGAGGGAAGCCCTCATGTGCAGTTACAGCTGCGTTCCCTACCCATGAACGGCTGTCCAAGACAATGCTTTGTCTACTCTAACTGGGCACTGAAACAAACAGCAAGGAGCTTGCTTAATCCCACAGGTGAACACTGAGAACTCCTGGTCAGAGCTGTCAGGCAGATGACCAGCCACCGGGTTCACCCTTTTAACCGGGTGGGAGGATGGTGGCCAGAAACTCAAGGAGAAGCAGCCATTAAGAGACAGATCCAGTCCAGCTCCCCACTAGGAGCTGAAAACAATTCCAGCAAGCAGTCCGAGAAGCAGCTGGGATTACCTGCTTTGCTCAATGCTGCCAGACGCTGGAGGATTTGGATGGTCTTGCTGGTGAGCTGATCTCACAGTGGGCTGGGAGGGGGGTGGACTCGTAAAGAGGAAGTTGCTAATAAATCTCCAAACCGCTAAGAGGGGATAAAGTATTGTGCCCAAGAACTTCCACAGATCACCGCCTGAAGCCTGAACAACAGAAGTAGCAGGTCTTCCCGCCTGGGAACACATGAACACATAAAGCAAACTGTCAGGTATTAAAGAAGTCGTGCACTCGGAGACAGAGCATTTCATCCTTAATTTAGAAGCAGCTGAGCAGACACAAGAAACAAATGTGGTTACACATGAGACAAGTATCTATGCCACTATTTATCTGCTTCAAAAAAGGCCTCTTCCAAATCAGTCCTGACAAACATTAAAGTAATTCTGCAATCTTAGACAGGGAAAAGACCAAAATTCAAGCCAAATATTATCAGGGACAACTAACAGCAAATACACCGCTACAGTACTGCTCTTTGCAAGAAAATGAAAAGTGAACAAGCCAAAAGCCAACACCCACCGGCAGCAACACTACCGAAGCACTGGGTGCTAACTCTAGCTCCAGTAGCTTCTTTCCATAATCTTCTTTGGTAAACTCCCTTCTGGGAAACATCGTTGCCAGCGAAAAGTTGCCGTAAGTGTTACCGACGGTCTGTGAAAATAGAAAGACAACATTTGCTTTGTCACTGCTCACTTTCACGAGCTGCAGATTTGCCAGCTGAGGATACCTTGCCATATTGACCCAAGAGTTCTGTATCAAACTATCTCTCATCTTCATACAGAGAAATGGAGGATTTTCCATATCCTGCTCTCTCTTACTAATGATACGCTGCGGGAATACAAAGGCAGTTGGTGGCACTGGAGAAGGCTGCTACCAAAAGCCCCTTCAAGTAACAAAAAGGGAAGCGGTTGATGACAATTCCACAACGATCAACAAGGACTTGATGCTACAGCAAGCTGTAATCAGCACATAGCTGAGAAAACAAAACACCACTTTACCTGTGCAGCAAACTGCCTCGCTTCTTCCAGCCGGGCTTCGGATGGGAACTGGTTAGTAAAGGAAGATCCATCTGGGAGGCGGAACTGAATCCTGGCTATTGCACTGCAGGACACGTATCGGGGTCAGTCAGCACACGAACAGTTACAGACAAACACTCCTTCCTGGGGCTTTAGCTTGGTAGTATTGAAACGTGGAAGAGAGGGACAGTCATCCTACTCATGGCAGCGCAGATGGGCTGCAATACAGTTTGGACCCGCAGCTGATAACCACCTGCTTAGATGTCACAATGCATGTCCTCTGGTTTTCATCAGAGTCCAAGACCCATCACCATTCAAACAAGGTATTTACATTCATCGTGCAAAAAGAATGACTAAGTGAATGAAACATAAACCATATGTCTTATGTAGCCAGTACCACTTTTGTTCTTTTTTCACACAAAGTTGGACTAGGAGGGCACAGACAGTCAGGATGGCTTGGCAAGTAGTTCTATATTCAGCTAGCTATGGCCCAGCATTGCTGCTGGAGTTTCCACACCAACACAGGCTGCTACTCCTGTGCTTGCCCGCTGTTCAGGGGCAGTACCAGGCTCACGGAGGCTCCATAACTCCACGGAAGGTCTCTATATAGGGTACAATATTGCTTAAACAGTAGTGCTGGGCAAGGGAGGGGACAGCTTGACACTGACAGCTGACGACCCCAATCCAGCCTGGCTGAATCCAAGCCAACTGCACACATAGCCAAACAGCCGGGTCGGCACCACGCGCCCCAGCACAGTTCTGACATCATCTTGTCATTCCGTCTAGTCATGACCTACCACATCCTCAACCTCCCTCGTTCCCCGCCTAGCCCATTACACATGCTACTTACACCAAAGAACAGACAGAGAAAGTTCTCATCTAACTGAAGTAACGGCCAAGGAAAGGTGCTAGTGTCTCGTGATCAGGAATGTCAACAGGATGGAAGTTATCAGAGAACATAATATTCATGTAAATAGCTACAAATAAAGAAAGGCGACTTTTTGTGTCACTGTTTAAACAGTTCAACATGGCATAAATTAATAGATTACGATATGTATTAAATCTTTTTGAAGTTTAAGTTTCTTTACCTCTCTCTTCCCAAAATATACACTTCTTTCTCTACAGCAACTCACCTTCGCTCCTTTTGAGATGCTTCTTTTCTGGCCTCTATTTCAGCCTGTTTAGCCTGAAGAGCTGCAGCTTTTGCAGCTTCTGCTTCTTCCTTCGATTTTGCAAAGCGAGCTGCTCTCTCAGCACGATCCTATGACAGGACCAAACAGAAACCTTAATTTTTACCAGAAATTGTAGCTTAATATTCATTAAAACAGACAGTTACAATCTGAACTCAACTACGAGAAAAGACAGTAGCGCTGCAAAGAATTGTTTACTGTCAAACTGCACAATCTCATGTCATTACTCAAGATGACACACTTTTCAACGAGTCACTTCATGCAAATAGTTGTTAATAGATGATCTTCCCATGCAAGTTTAACACGCCAGTGAAGACAAAGGGGAAAAAAAATCTTCTGACAAGTAACACTATTACAGTACTAAGTGTTCTAGGCCAAAACCTAATAATGAGGAGGGATTTCAGTTCTTGTGAATTGTTTACATCCATATATGTACACACATATACACAAACTTAGAAAAATCCTCACCACCTTTTTGAGATTAGTGGTCTTCCGCATGTTCCACAATTAAATATTCCCTGTGCTTCTGTTCCAGAACCATGCTTAAATTGCAATTATTTTTATGTCTAAATGATAATTTTCCACTGGACTCAAGCCACGTGACACAGAAGTTGGTACGTCCATTCAGATAGAAAAGATCATCATAAATATGAAAGCAGAAGGTTCATTTTATACACAGGAAACGCTACATTAACCCCAAACACATGAATCGTTACAATAGGAGGCCACAGGATTCCAAACAGAAACACAGACAACCTTTCAGAGCTTTACCAACTGACAAAATGTATCCTTTTTGTACCCCAGTGCCCCTCGTGAGAAAGAGAAGCAGCAAGCTATCTTCCAAAAATGAAAAATTTACCATTGCAATCTGCTGCCTTATACGCTCTCTAGCCGCCTTCTCTTCTGCCTTTTCTCTGTTCCGCTCCTCTAACATACGTTTTGTCAATTCTTCTTCCTGTCGTCTTTTGTACTCCAACATTTCTTTACCAGTTTTTCGCCGTTCAATTTCTTTCTTAATTTCTTTCTGAATAAACAACAGACACATAAAAATATGACGTGAAATTGCCTTGGACAAGAGCAAGACAAGACTGAAGTACATTTGTTTAAAAAGAAATTAAGCGTTTATTCAAATCAGGGTACAGAACAACTGCAAGCTGGTTTACATTTGTGTTACCTGTTCTTCTTCTTTCCTCTTCTCCTCTCGTCTTTCTTCAAGCTTTTTTGTTATTCTAAAGTTAAGAAGGAAGTGAAAAGTCTTAGTATTGCAGTATGGGTTACGAACGGTTTAAAAGTTTAACGAAGCGTTTGCCAACACTGGCAGCAGAGCAGGCCACCTGACAGCGAACCCGAACTGTAACACCGAGCTAACACCCAGGGCAGCAGGAGGGACTCCTCCACATGCGGGTGTACCGTCCATGAAAAGATGAGGTGGTGATTCACCACCAGCTTTTAACGGAGCTCTAACGTACTCCTGCTCTCCTCTGCCGCTCAGTAAATGAAGAACCTTGCATCTTACTGTGGAACCAACTCCTAACACGTACAATAAGCAAATTCTGTTTATGATCTGTGTAACAGAAACACCGAAATCTCAATGTCTCCTTAGCTGTTTAAACTGTCTGGTTTCTTCTGCACATCGCTTCCTAAAATGGAAAGCAAATAATATAGAGCACTGACAGAGATGCACATGCATCTGTGTGATCTACCCAGAAAGGTGCCTTACAATAAGGATTAACTTAAAACCCCATAGTAATTCACAACATATTTTAAGTCTAGGGAAAGCGCAGGCATGACCAAAGAACACCAGAAGTCAGATAACCAGAAAAATCTTGTTTGCATAGTAGCTGTATTGCTCTTACAAAAAAATAGTTGCTACAGAGCTTTGCCTCTGTTTTCCCCTGAAAAAACGCTGTAGATATATGCAAATATGGTACAATTCAAGATTAATGCACATTTTAAACAGAACTTTGGTATTTGTAGTAAAATATTGACTGCATTTTCTTACTAGTAGTAAGTAAAAATTATATTTATTGTCCAACATCTTTCAAAGAAAACTGAAATTAAATGTGAAAGTTTAAAAATATATTTTAGCAGTATAAATAATCCTATTCCCTAAGTATATATCACCAGTTTTAGATAACAAATAGTATGTCTTACAGATGCTACGCTAAATCTTATACTTAAAAACAATTTAATTAATGAACCACGTACAGTACCAGATGCTTCTGGTCACCATATTTTAAAACACTAGAACTCATCAGACCTCGTTGCTGTTCACTGATCAAAAGAAGAGTCTCAGAACAGGGTTCCTCTGGCTTTTTCAATATGCCTAGGCTACAAACAGTCATCAAATAGACAAAAAGAAATAAGATGGCATCTCTGCACGAAACCTAGGTTAGCACTTTATTACGCCACTTTCAAGTGCTTTCAGTTCAATGTTTCACTCATCAAAAACTTGCAGCAAACATATTGTCTGTATTCAAGTTACATCAAAGGTGAACAGTTATGGTTTTCCAGTTCACCTCTTCCTTTCAGAGTATGTAAAAAACGAGACTAATTTAAAAGCTGGTTTTGTACCAACCCTAGTCAGACATCTAAACAGAAATAATACCACATACACGTTTGCTGCATGGTAACAGAATGAGCACCAAAATCCTGTAAGTTAAGCCTGTTTGTTCCAAAAAAAAAAACCAAAAAAAACCAAAAACAAACCCAAAAAACCAAAAACCAAACAAAACACCCCCCCCCAACAAAACGGCTTCCAGAGAAACAAACACAATACATGAGGAAGTCTGCAAAAGGCGACTTACCTTTCTACTTTCAGTGTGAGATCATTCACAGGCTGAGCATCACTCACTTGTTCATCTAAAGAATTAGTTGCTTCCTTGCTTGCTTGACCTGAATTTGCTCCATCTTCAAGTGATTTACGAGAAAGTAACGCATAAGAGAAAAATAAGAGGTGTGTTTCTTATCGTAAAATATTATGATGCTCATTGTTAGCCGCAATTCACAGCAGCTAGGATATATTAAGGAGATACAAGGTTCTGCCAGACTCACCCCCCAAAAACCAATTTGGTTTCAGGTTACCAACCTGGAGAAACTTTTTAAACCGAAAGTGTGCACAATTTTTACTGCATTATAAACCATAGATTTCTCACTCACTTCTGCTCACAACTAAGCAGAATGAGAAGTTATTCTTCCTTATAGACTTGCAAGAAGCGTTCTGGGATACCCAACTTTTTCCTCAACAAGTCCACTCAATATACCACCTTTCACGTACCAGCATATAATGACTTAAGAAGACTATTTCAAAAGCAAGTGTTTATGTAAAAATACATTACCAGCAGAAGGTCTTATTGTCTCAGACACTACAGACTCATGAGAGTCACAAAACTCTACTGCTCTGGATTGCATATTTTCTGGAGCACCATCAGATTGAGAGGAAGGACAGGGAGCTGATGACTGACTTCCATTTTCCAAAGGCTGCCCTTTTACTGTGTGCATCTAAGAGATTGGGGGAAAAAAAAGACCAGACCATGAAATCTGGAGTATTTTCCACGGGTTAAAAGGTCAAGACTTAACTGTTTTTGGAGAATCAGTCCTACTTAAAACTAAAATGATCACATACTGCTGAGTGTGATGCAATCACACATTTAGTATTTTTTCCTAATTTTAGTCTTACGCTTGAAGTCAACAGATACAACTGTCTCTCTATGTTCCATAGCTTAATTTTATCAATCTGTATTACCAGACAATATGACAAAACCATGTATGAACTGTATTGAAACAATAATCAGCATGTCATTCCAGCTTAGAGTTCTTGATGTTTTTCTTCAATACCATAGGTAGGTGCTACATAGATGATCTAAACCAATCTGTGAGACCAAAAAAATAATGTAGTGCTTTTGCAGAGTGCTTTCCAACCTTTTCCAACCAGTTCACTTTGTGTACTGAACTTCAGTTTGCAGATTGTGTGGTTGGAAGGCTGTAGAGCCAGTAATTCATAATTCCCCAAGGCACATGCTGAAGGCCAGGGACACCTCTTGCCTTGAGCATGTGAGCGCACCCCACTCAATCTGAAAGATCCAGTCTGGCAGCAAGTGTTACCTGTTTAACTTTATGGATTCTGGTAACAAGCTCTTCAACAGAAACACTGCCAGCAATTACTTCCAAAGGGATTCCATTGTCTCCTATGAAAAAACTCGATGGAACACACACTACGGGATCTGCACAGCAACAGTTAAGGGCAACAAACTACCAAAGTTTATAAAATAACTTTAAAAGGGAAAGCAGGAGTCCTTCCTACACAACCTTCTCGCCCAATATTCCATCTCCACCTGGTCGCCAGCAGTCAGTGTCAAGGGAGGAAGACGCAAACAAAAATGCCGGAAAACATATTGTTGAGTGTGATGCAATCACATATTTAGTATTTTTTCCTTTAAAATGCCTCAAGCCAAAGAATATTTTTCGCCGGCACACGTATCTGCCAACCAATTATGCTTCGACTTGAAAGACTTTGTTTTAGTGTGAGACAACATCTTAGGCAGACAATAATGAATTCTTTACAGCACTAAGAAAAGCCAAGTTAAGGTACTGAATTCCCTTGCTCAGCATCATACAGAATTCCTGAGCTATACGCAGTGACCTACTTCAGGCAGGCAGATGTACCTGTGTATCTGACAGAACCCAATCCACTGCTTGTTCTTCCTCCTTGGCAACGCTGAACTCCAGCTTACAAGCAGTAAAGCATTGCTACTTGTTTTCTAATGCTGGTTAGCAATACCAGTGGGTTATTTTGTTTACATAAAGCTTTGGATAATTTTCTATATGGAGAACCACATAGGATTAACATTAAAAAACCCAACTTGTTCACTTTCTCTAATAACTGACAGCAAGTTTAATACATAGATGGTATCTTTTAACTACAGTTTATTGCATATTTTTGTGCCACAAGAAGTATTTTTAATAACATTGCTTGTATATATTTTTCTTAAGAACAGTATTAACTTGTAAAGAGCAGTCATCTATAATCATAATGCAGCATCTGAACTGATCTCAAAGGATACAGATTTGAGAAAACTGCAGGCATGCTTCACTGTTTAAAAGAAAAGATTCATTTAGGAGGAGCAATCACTTTGCAACAACTTTAGATTAACAAATTTAGATTTAGACTTAATCTAAAGTTCACCAAAAAATAACTGTCCTACTACCACCCACAAAGCTATTTAAATAGTTGAGAGAACACTAAGAGCAAATTTGCCCTGCATCTTCTCATTAACATTTTGCATAAGTGTTGACATGGTGACAGCCCCTGGTTTATCACAGGTGACTGTAAGATTTAGGGAAAAGTGCTAAGAAGCAATTCCGGAAAAAGACATCTTAAGTGCAAATAATACAGTAAGTCTAATAAAATGTCTATAGAGCATTGCAAAATAATACCATTTTTGGAAATGTCAGGGCACTTTCTGCACATGGACTGGAACACTTATATATAACAAAAATAGTCGAGTAATTTACCCAGGAACTTCAATGCTTCTCTGTTCTACATGTTATAATACAATAGAGACAAACACATTTTCTCTGGGGCTTTACAGATTTTTATCTTTCTGAATTCATGACAGTTTTTAAAGTTTGTTATGTAACTTGGCAAATCAAGAGCTGCCTCAAGAGTACTTGCATTTTGATTCCGGCTTTTTTTACATAACTTTTGTGTCTCTTCCTGTTGAAAAGGGACGACCTCAAGCATACTCTTACTAGTACTGAAACACAGTCCAAAATACACAATGAATATTCTGCAGAACACAACAGTAAATCTGGAAATTTTGAATTTTCTCAGGCTCTAGTGGCTTCAGGAGTACTGAATTCACTTGTGCTCTGGAGCCTTGTATTTAGACTACCTCCAAGTCCAGGTGAGGACTTCAAAAGCCTCTTAGTCTCATCATCATCAATGAAAGACTGTGTAAAAGACAGAACTAGAACAGGATCAAACCTTTTGGTGTCGATTTTAATAGCGACAAAACCATCTGAGGCAGCTTCAGTCACCTTCTCATCTTCCCACCTTGCAGCCATCTCAGTAGATTGTTCATCCTCACCTGCAAGACACAGCACAGGCGTGAAGCTAAACCCACCACAAATTCCTGTCACTGGTCTGATTTTAGCTTTGCTTCAATTACTTGAAATCATCTCTGAAAGACACTCCTGATTGTTTTGAAGTCCGTTTATCTTTTTTTTTTTTTTTTTATAATCAGGAGACAATTCAGATGATTTGCCTGGCTAACGTGCCAAAAAACTGATATACCAAAAATCCTTCCAAGCCAGCAAGTAGCTTTCACAGTCGTTAAACTGCATGGTGAGCTGGTCCAGGGCAGCAGAAGAGAGTGGACCACACAAATGGAACAGAGAGAGGGGAACTGGAGGTGATGGCAAGTCCAAAGATCGGCTTGACTGCATCATCTAACTGCCTGACTACTCAAGGACCGCCCTTCAGTGCGTGTGCCTATGCTTTAGTGGTTTGCTCCAGTACACTCATACCATGCAAGCAGATCCCCCAGCACAGAGGGAACCACTGCTCCTCCCCAACACTCAGCTTAGCTTGCTAACATGCCAAGCTATCCGCTGCTTACCCCTGATTACAAATTTATTAGCATGCCAGCACAGCAGCTAAACAGGTAAAACTGTTTTCCACTCCTTGTAAATACCTCATTCAGCCGACAAGCTTTCACAGTTTGATGCCGTTAAAAAAAAACAAGGCAAGAAGCATTTATTTGTAACATTCATACATTTATTTGTAACTTAGTTTTGGATTCTAGTTCCTGACATGAACAGTAACAGCAGGAGGGGAGGAAAAGAAGTGAGGAGCACACGGGAGCAAGAATAATAGTAGAAAGGAGCTACTTAAGAAAGGGAAAGTGAAAAGGTGCTCTCCAGCCACAAGTTCAGAAGTGTTATTTTAATCAGATGAAACATGTCAATCATACATTTACCTTCCAAAGCACTGGTTTAGCAAGGATGTGGGTTAATAAATAGATTCCCATGAATATTAACCATCTTTCAACAAGTAAAGTGGCCTGCAACCATTTGTTTATCTCCAATCTGCATCACCTCCTAGCAGCTTGGAATCAACTGTACTCTTGATGAAGAATGAGTCACAAGTATAGAAATATAGTGGTCCATTATTCAATGACAACAACAAACCATTTGTTTGTTTCATCCCAGCTGCCATTTCACACAGTATTTTTCACTTGTTAAAGATCAGGAGTTGTATGTGCAGTCCCCTGGTGAAGCACTGTTGCCTTAAGGCCATGACTGTCTGGCTACAATGCTTCTCAGACACGTATCAAAAATACACCGATTTTGGAAAAGTGTTTTCCAACCATATGTACTGATTTTTCCCTGGAAGTACTGGAGCAAGTAAGAAAGTATTCACCTCTATTACTATTATTCTACATAAGCAAGTAAATATTTATGATATTTTATGCAGGAACGTTTCCTCTTCCTTTAAGTGCAGTACTTCCAACTGTGGTCAATGGATGCAGCTGTTCTGCCAAAAGCAGTTCAGCCTCCTCCCCCATTCCCAAATGCTCAGACAGCTGCTTCACCACACACCCTTTTTCAAAAGGACATGTGCTCATCCGATTAGGCTACTAAAAATATCTAAATACTTGCCTAACACTAACTTTTCCGTACAAACAACTGCTGTAGAAAAAGAATGCTGAAAGACACAAACAGGTCAGAGACTGTTTGCAGTACAGTCTGAGAGATGGGACCCATGAATGAAAATGCTGATAGCTCACATTTTATGTGCTCTGTGCCATGAGGCACAGATTAATGTTGTGACTGCCCACAGAATAGTGGCTTATTCTCATATATCTTTTTCTTTTGATAACCCTTTCTCATTTGGGGGTTAAGGTTCATTTGTTACAGTTCTGTAGTAGTAATTATAACCTGTAACGAAAACTGCCAGGTCACAGGAAAAGCATCAGAAAAGTCAAGAGGTCAAGCTGAACAGAACTTGACAATTCATAATTCTGCTAAACACTGAGCTATAACAACCGCCTCAGAATTCTCTTCCCAAGACTCTCACATTTCTTACGTTTCTCAAACAAAAGCATCGCTTTATTTCACTTACTGAAAAGACCTGTACACAAATCACAGTCACGCTTGCTCTTGTCTTAAATTTGGATAGGTAAATTTAGGTATCTACATAGGGAAAATGTATCCATCATTTCGCAAGTGATTCA